AGGTTCAGCAAGCTTATTGGACAGTTCAAACAAATCAATCACATGAGTCACTCAAGCATTTAACCATACAGCAATCAGTATTTTACCAAATGTGGGGAGGGGTAAGTGGGAAGGCGTACATCAACAATTAACCCTATGCAATCTTTAACTTCACAATCCCTAGGGGCAAGTAGGACGGGGAATACCACCTGCTTCCTGCTCCAGATCCCGTGACCCTGTGGTTAGCACAAAGGGCTATTTTTTCTGTAAGATTTCCTGTTTGCCCAGGGGCTAAACCTGCCAAAGGTCACGTATGTAGTCTAGTGGGATTTTTCCACCGAGGCAAAGGCTAAGGTTGAGGGCAGCCATCTTATGCAGGCCCAAGCAGTCTCTCACAAGTGCGCGCGTCTGCTCATCCAGGAGTAAAGATATCACTTCAGAACGTCTCAGCCCTCAGGTTCACACGGGGGGGTGAGAAGGATTCTTCTCTGAAGCTGCCTCGGGGCTACCAAGTGCTGTTGGGGAATCTGATTTTTGTCCAAGCCTTTTACCGTGCTTCTGTAAGTCATGTAAGTCATGCTGAAGAGAGACAGGAGCTATCTCGCTCAAGCCGTAAAGGTATGAGCTATTTGGATACAGGTGTGGAGCAAGCTGCTTTGCTTCACCCTTGTGCTTATTTCCTTCACTCGGGAAGCTCGGGGCTGGGTACAAGTGTCATCAGCAGAGAGAATATTAAAGTTATTATGCTAAATTAATTCACCCTTCATTTCTAGTTCCCTACCTTTCTGTATTGCTTAGCTTCTCTAATGAGTTACTTCACACCTTTGAATCATTCTGTAAGGACATTCAGTAAAAGTAAATTAAAAATTCATGGCAAGCGTGGAGGCTAAACCTGCAGACGTATTTGTGGGTGACCTTAATATCACAGCTTACTCTGTTTTTATGAGAACAAGGACAGATCTAATTGCTTGTGACAGAGCTGTTGACCAAGAAGTGTGTGGCTCTCAGCTTGTGGCCACAGCAGAGTGGGTCTTCCCTTGTCTGTAGAGTCGTTGCCCTGCTCTTCTCTTGCCGCATGTCCCGAGCTCGGTTTATGACCTTAGTTAAACTAGACACTAATTTGCTAAACTCACACGGTGTTCCACACCGTGACCTGTCTGAGTGGGACTCACTTGTCAGTATGGTATATTAGGGGATTGGAGATCTCAACGTGTTTAATACAAGGTGAATATTACATCATGAAATGAGTTATACTTAGCACAGTGCTGTTATATTGATGCACATGATCTCTCTCTGAGAGGCCCTCTAAAGAAGAAATGATGTGGGGATCTGGATGCGGGTCTGGGGAGTATTAGGGCCGGGGGTCAGGATGTCTGTTAGGTGCTTCGGGGCTCACCTCGGCATACGTTCCCCAGCTTCAGGCGAGATTTCTTTGTTTATGGTGCATTTTATTTGGCAAACACTAAAGATAAGTTCTTCAGCCTTGGGAAGAGAGCTTTACAGCACTCAGAGCTGCTGTGTTCCACAGGGACTGTGATTTGATGTCACAGGTGGGAGAAACCCTGCGTAGGTTTCTTCCCGTACTTCCAAAGACAGGACTTCTACCCTTCTCGTGATCAGATGAAGAGAAGGACAAATGCATCTTCCTCAGTATGCTAAGTATATGCAAAAACTGGTGTGGAACTGAGTGTGACTAATATTTCTAAAGATTAATGATTCAGGGCCAGATGAAAGCATTCTCAACCTCAACACACCCAGAACATTAGTGTAATAGGAAGAATCACAGTGAACTCCCTGTAGGCAGATAGCAAAATCAGTGCATAACCGAGTGTGTTACCTGCCTGGGGCAAAGGTCTGGAGGCCCTTGCCCATTTCGGAAGATCAGTAAAACCTCCAGTGGGCAAGATAGCCCAGCAAGCTGTGCAACCATGCAGGGAAAATATGTTTAGGGAAAGTATGTTTATTTTTAGTTTTTTAAAATATTTCCCAACATATGACAGTTGTCGTTGGACTGTGGCATTATAATTGCTCATGTTGGTCAGGTACTGCATATCAAATCTAGAAGTGTCTAATTTTTATTGGTACTTTTTAATATGCAACAGCACCTCCTGAGGTTAATCATTTCTAAAGGTGCCTTCCCCTTCCTCACCAGGTGTTCGTTTCACATTGCTGTTTGCCAGGCTGTCATGTCAGATATGGCTGCAATAGATGTACTGCTTATAGTGGTTCTTGAGAAAAATTGTTAATTAAATCAAATAAAAGATAAGATAATAAGAGCTCATGACAAGTAACTGGCAATTTCAAAACTTCTCACTTATTGCTACATGTATGTTATAGCATGGATGACGATATTCTTGAGCAACTTTATTCTGGATAGCCATAAGGTTATTATCTAAGCAGCACTGATGTAAGTTGAGGTGCATTATTAGCATATTATGAGGTTTTTACATTTTATTTCATCTTGATTTTCCACATAGTCACAACATTGCCCAGTTACTTAGTGGGGTCTTGCATTTTTCTTATTTGGTGAAGTCTTCCTATTTAATATATTAAATATTTTAAAAAATTGCTATTAGAATCTCCTGTGGGCTTTTATTGAAGTTTATTTTTTTCAGAGTGGATTTTTTGAGGGAGTGAGTACTAATGTGAAGAATAATTCTCTTATGAAGAAATGATTGTTGTAATAAGAAAAGATTTTGCAAGATTTTATTTCTATTGTTAAAGCAATTCGCTCTGAAGGGTGGATCATGATGTATGTTACAAAACAAAGCATGTATCTCTTCACGTTGGGCTTAATTCCATTATAATTTCTATTAAACTGTAACCTTTTACTCTCTGGTTTCCTTCTCACCTAGTTGTCCCCATATGTTTTTAATTCACCTCAATAAAATCTTATATTTGTGTTTCTTTTTTGTTAATATTTTTAAAAAGTGTTTGATGCTTTTAGCTCACTGTCTTTTTTCTAAATTTTTATTAAAATAATTATATCACTGCAGGAAATAGAATCTTGAAATTTAAGTTGAATTTTACTTGATTGGTTTACTAGGAAGTAGCATCTGCTGATATTTATTCTACATGAGGGCACATAGTATTTGGTATTGCCTGTGTTTTTTAAGTATATCTTTTTTATCATCACATTAAATATTTCTGGTCATTGCATGTTTCTTATTGGTACTTTATGATAATTCAGACTACTACAAAAAAGTGTGATTTCTGCACAAACATATAATTAATGTTTTGAATATTTTAAGGAATATTTTCCCTCTGTTTTAAATATTCAAATTGTAATTAAGGTTTGCACACTAAATAAAACAATCAGATTATCTTTTGAAATTTAGAAACTATTACTGTGCTATCTGAGCAATTGAGACCCAGCAAATTCTGAGAGCACATAATATTGTTTCAGAACACTTGAATAGACAGAACTTTTGTAAATAATCTAAAAACATACAAAAATCTTAAAAAATGTAAAATGACTTCTATTGTCTCTAACAGTAGTCTGCTTTTTTTAGTTCAAAATTAACAGACACTGGAGGTATTGACCATGAAGTGGGACATCTGGCCTCATCCCTGACCTTGAACACCCCCATCCTGTGCACCAGCATAGACAGCCAGAGGAATCTTAAGGTAAACTCCTGAACTACAGGGAATTGTTATGTCTGGGTTACAGTTAACTGTCTTGTTACTGTGATTTGTACACTGGTAATGTGAACTGAGGAAATGAAATGTAACCACCTGCATGAGATTGTAGATGTAAAACCTACAAAAGAGGAATCTGCAGCCCAACAGGAGGTCGGTCACTGGCACTGTCTTTATGAATGCAACTGACCCTTTTCTGACAAAATAAATTTTTTATTTTACTTCTGTTTTGCTCATATCTATGTGCATGTCACTTGCCGATTCCTTCCCCGACAACTTCAGCATCTAACTTCAGAATGTAAGACCCAAAATTTACAAGACAATATTTATTCTGGAAAAATTGTAGAAATCAGAATTTATGTCAAAGACAAAGACAAAAATTTCAATTCTTACCTTGTAAGTACTATTCTTTGCAGACTACTTCAGTCAAAGAATAATAAATGTTAGGGGGTGAAGGGAGGGCGGGGACAAGGGGAAAAAATGAGAACCAAGACCTGTCATGAAAAAGGTACAAGATCCCAGTAATGAATGTAACTGTCCTGTATACCTAAAATGTACCAATAAACACAATTTTAAAAAGAATAATAAATGTTAACTTGAATTTGAATAATTCATTTAAAACTTTCCTTATTTTGGTGAACTCTTTTTTGCCAAATTTGTGAAGTTTCATCTAAGCTTAAAAGAAGAAATCGACAGCATTCAATTCATAATTCACAAGGGCCATAGGATAATTTTCAAATAAATATTTCTGAAGCATTTATTTCCATTTAAAACAAATATAAGTAAAATTGAAAATAAAATAGAGTTTCATTAAATAGTATACTACATTTATGAACTCAGTCTTAACATTGGATCCCTTTTATGAGGTAACTGACTGGGAGAATATTTTCATAATGAACGACAAAAGTTGTGTTCTACCCACCAAAAGATATGTACAAGTGCAGAATGTAAATTTTGCAAACAAATCACCAAATAATTTTAAAATAATATTTATATTTCAGGATATCTGAAATCAGGAAGCATTTTTATTTTCATCTCATCATTTGCAAATTATGAAGCTCTAGAAGAAAGGAAATGAATGTCCTAAGGTTAAAAAAAGTGAGGAGATGGAGTGCTAATATTTTCTTTGATCTACACACTCCAAATTCAAGAGGTGACATATCACATGTAGTGCATTAATATCTGCAACTATTGTAGGTTAATCACGACTAAAAAAATAACTAAAAATGACTATATACGAGGATTCAATGTATTTAAAATGAGAGATAGATGTATTCGCCTAAAGAGATTCTGGAAATATCTGTCATATTTAGTTATTATCATTTTGTGTCTTACAAAGGGGATTTACATCAGTACATGGACTTTTTATATACTGCTTTGATATTTCAATTTAAGCCATGGAAACAAGAAACCAAAGTTCTGGGACAGATTTTACACTTGTTGGTCTTTTCCAATATGGCGGAATGAATGCTGTTCTCTTTGCTGCCATTGCCGTCCTCTTCTTGGTGGCTGTGCTAGGAAACGTCACCCTGGTCCACCTCATCCGACTGGACAGCAGACTCCACACACCCATGTACTTCCTGCTCAGCCAGCTCTCCCTCATTGACATGATGTACATCTCCACCACTGTGCCCAAGATGGCGACCGACTTCCTGACAAACACCAAGACCATTACGTTCTGGGGCTGTGAGATTCAGACATTCGTATCCCTGAGCCTTGGCGGGTCCGAAGCCATCCTCTTGGCCTTCATGTCATATGATCGTTACATAGCGATCTGCCATCTGCCATCTGCCATCCTTTGCACTATGCAGTGTTCATGAGCAAGAAGATCTGCTGTGGCCTGGTCACATGCACCTGGTCTAGCGGTGCTGTCAACTCCTTCATACACACACTGTATGTTTTCCAGCTTCCCTTCTGTGGGTCTAGGGTCGTTAACCACTTTTTCTGTGAAATTCCGTCTCTACTGCCATTGGTTTGTGAGGACACCTCCCAGTATGAATATACCATCCTGCTGAGTGTACTTTTCATCCTGTTGCTGCCTTTCGTGGCCGTCCTAGCGTCCTATGCTCGGGTGCTCACTGTGGTATTCCAGATGCGCTCAGGCGCAGGGCAGAACAAAGCTCTCTCCACGTGCTCCCCCCACCTGATTGTGGCCAGCCTCTTCTACACAGCAGGTCTCTCCACATACACGCGGCCTCACTCCTTGCATAACCCTGCCCATGATAAGGTGGTGGCAGTGTTTTACACCGTGGTCACACCCCTTCTGAACCCATTCATCTACAGCCTGAGGAACAAGGAGGTCCTCGGGGCCCTGAGGAGGCTGCTGGGATGATGAACATTGGTAGAGAAAATATGGCTTCAGGAAATTCACCAGGAAGGATAGCAAGGTAAATATTCTGTGTAAAATCCGAGAAGCGTTGTTCTCATCAGACTTTACTCACAAAGCAAAGACTACAAATTTATGTATGTGTTGTACTCATGAAATAGATACTTTGGATTTCTGTTTGTATTTTCTTGAAAATAAAAAGCAAATCCTTCCCAAGCATTTAATATCTAGATAAATTATGTAATGACCAATGATAATACAGGGACAATATATAATTGAAGAATGTTTTAAAGATTTTTTTATGTTTGTAAGTCTGCTGCAAGGACCATTTCAGTGGGAGTGAAGTAAAGGACAAAGCTGAATTCTCCACCTATCTTATTTCTATCTTACACCCTAATGACCACGTAACACAACTTGGCCACATGACCAACACTGTGGCAGAGCCATGGCTGTGAGGCTCCTTTATTCTGTGTCCCTTCCGTGACTGTGAAGTGGAGCTTGTGGAGCAGAGGGACTCTGCAGCCAGCTCCTCCCTTCACTGTGCCTTTGTGATGATAGGCTGGCACTTCTCAGTGTCAGTTTCTGTCTGGACCAAATGGCACTCTTTTGGGTGGGTTTCTTCTAACAATATATACTAACGATTATTTATTACAGTGTCCCTACTACACTTGATCTTAGCCAAAAGGTTGAGAAGCGATACAGTGTTCCCACTATAAATTTCAGTAACGTGAAATGTTTTGATTTCTGTAAATAACTTAAAATGTATTACAAATGTATAGTCCAAGGTTACAACAATTTTATTGAGTTACAGGGTGCTAATGTGAGAGGTAACAGGTATAACAAGTATTGTTCCTTAGTTATGTACTTAGAAATTCACTAGCCTAGAAAAATTACTTTCCTAAGCACTTTTGTTAATGAAATCTTTTTCTTTAAATACAGGAAAGGTATTTCCTAATTCACACACACACACACACACACACACACACACACACACAAATTCACAATGCATAAAAATGAGTGGTTTGAGCAATATCCATTGTTAACCTTATGATATCAATTGACAGAAAGACCCATGAGGTAAGAAACTCAAATTTTTAATGCAGTCTCCATTCCCACCTGGAGCACCCCGAGCTTGACTTTTGTTATTAACATTTCAGTCTTCGGAGAGCTCATTAGCATCTCGCATCAATGTCTGCCTTCAGCATGCTAAGATTTCTGTAGCTGCCATCTCTGAATTTCTTCAAACTCCTCTTGCAAACCAGTTCCAAATGATTCTGAACCACACAATTAGGAAGAGTCACAGAAATGACTCCACTTTTGGTACCAGTTTTTTCTGTGTTGCTTTCCCATTCATGGAACAAAATATCTAACAGCAGTACAGCAAAGGAAGGAGGGCTGCTGTGGGCTCATGAAGTCACAGAGTACAGTCCGCAGTGGGCTAGTTCCGATTTGGAAACAGCACAGAAGAAGAGCATGGCAGAGCAAAGCTGACCCACCGCTGGAGAAGGCCGAGAGAGAAGGGAGAAACAAAGGAGAATACAGCTGTCCAATCACAATCCCAGTGACCGCCCCTCTGAACAGGCCCCAACTCCTAACAGTATACTCAGCAGTGAGCACAGAATGGACTGATCCACCCACAAATATAATGCTCCCACAGCCCAATAAACTTCCAAAAGCCTTATCTTTGAACACTTGAGATTTTGAGGTCCATTCTTTATTTAAACTGTAACAAGCATGCCTTCTTTCCAGCATCCATTCTTCCTCTGAATGATTCCTGTTCCTTTATGGCTTTACCTTGGTGATTCACTAGAATAAAGTTCCTGTCCTCAGGGTCTGCTTGGGAAGGAGCTCAAATGGGGGGCTGCCCTTTAGGGTAAGTTATGCAATTGTATGTTGGTAAAGAAAGATGAAGAGCGTGGTAAGTGTTACATTATCATCTCATCATGTTGGGAGACAGAAGGCTGCAGGGCCTGGTAAAGGTCAGTTTTCAGGAGGTTAAATATGTAAATCTTACCTGACACTAATAAATAGGTAGATTTTACCTGGCACTGGGAACAGCACAGGCCAACTGGTAAACCACCCCTAAGTCAACACCATGGAAAGTGAACTTTGGATCTGACAGCTGAATGCAAACTTCAGAATATCAGGTGCAAGAACGTGATGCAAAAGTGCTGTTATTAAAAGAAGACTGACCCACCGAGGAGGAAATACCCTGTGCTGCTGGGACAGTGATAGGCAAAAGTGCACCTCAATCTGGAATGAGAGAGAAGGGTAGCACAGACAGCATGAGTCCACTTGACTCTTTTGGTTGTGAGGAAGAACTCCCCTTTGCTGGAGGGGACCATCCTCGCCACACCTGGGTGCTGTGCCAAGGTCTTATGCAAGATTTAGTTCCTGGTCTCCTTGGTGTTTGCCTCTGCACAATAGAAAGGAAGTGTTTTCTACCAACTCACTTTTTTCATGACAGGATTCACCCTCAGGTGAGGTCTCTCAGTGCTAATTCTAACACAATGCCAGAGTGTCCCTTTGCTGCTTGATTAAGATGTGAACTGTACTTCTTTAGAGTATTCAGGTAAACACAGTCAGTATTGCATATGTTGGGCTTTATGTTAAGAACTTGTCTCACAGGAGTTTGAAAGCTGATCAAGTTTGTACAGCAGCATGGAGTTGGGAAACCAAGCAGCATTTAATGTACAGACAAGAGATAAAATTTCTTCTGTCCTGGAAAACTTTAGTTTTGCTTTGTTATATTTTGAAAAATAAAGCAAAATTTAATAATAATATAATAAGAGATTAACACTGAATCATCTTCAAAGTAGTTACTCAGAGATGAAAAAAGATTCTCTCTTGTAAAGAAGAAATAAACTGGCAATAGCACAAAACTTTCTTTTCAATGAACTAGAGAAACTAATAGTATGAAAGAAACAAATTAACATACACTTTAAAATTTTCTTGAGACAATGGAATGGGTATTGTTTGAACTTCTCCCTACTCCCTATTTAGCTGTTATCTACTTTGTACTTATTCATATTTATATAAGTGCGTGAGGACCACTTACCTATTATGAATGATCTCCTTTGCCTAAAATCAACTGATTGCTTATATTAATCATATGTACAAAAGTCATAGTTACAGAAAATCCTAATCTAGTGTTTGATTATATAATAAATAAATAAATATTTGATTAAATACTGAACACTAAATAGCTGGGTAGCATAAATGAGCCAAGATAAACTCAGACATTATAGAATCATACAGTAGATGAAATAGCAGTGAAGACTCACTGTTATGGACACTGAAAAGGCATGAAAGACACTAGATAGTGGGCGAGTTTGAACTGGTGTATTACACAAGCCCAGTGACCATGATCCTCAGGACAAGTGAACTTGCTCACATTGGGTGTCACCTTTGGCCAAGACTGATGGCAAAAGAAGATGTTATGAAATCCAAGATCCACAATAAGTGGAATGAAACAACTATGTAATCGTATGGGTCCCACAATACCTCGTGTACTTCATACTTTAGAGTCACGGTGAACCTGACTTATGAACTGAGAAGTTGGCCCTTAATCAATGGTCATAAAACAGAAGACCACGCCTTGTGTCCCACAGATAAATGTGCTGCAGCCTGCTTGCTATGCTCTGCTTATTTGTTTGTTGATATTCCTCGGGGCCTTCACACAAAGCTACATTCTTGGTTGGTTTTTATTTTATATTTTTCAGCAGTGTCTAAGTTGCTCAAGTACTGAGGCTGCACACACTCTTGGAATCCTCTTGCTTCAGCCTCTCAGAATGCTTGCCTTACTGGGATGTACCAAAAAGCCTGGATAGAGGTTTAAAATTTGCTGCCGGCAGAAGTCATGTTGAAATTCAGTTGCTGTTCTAACAGTGTTTGTAGCAGGTCCCTGCTCTGTGCCAGTAGAGGAGGCCGTTGACATAGTAAAAGTGCAAATTGGTCCTTTCCTGTCCCAACTTTTGCCCTGTGACGATGCAGCCACAGAGCTCTACAGCTGCAGTACCATGTCTTAAACATCACAGCCTCCAGAACTGTGAGAAACACGGCTCTGATTTCGCATTTTGCCCACTCTTTGGTATTCTGCTATAGCTGTACAAGGTCGACAAAGACACAGGATAATAGCTGAATTGAGAAAAACCAATAAAAATAGGGGAGAGTAGAAGAGCAATGTCAGGTACCACCATGGGGACCGCTCAGCTCATCAGCCGATTTTCTGCTTCAGGACCACTCGGTGTCAGGCTCGCCAGTGACTGGAGGACCTGTCTTCTGAAACAAGGGCTCCACAGTAGCCAGACCTATGCATCTGCTGTCCTCAGTCCTCTACCTAAGGTCTTTCTTCTTTACCCTCTATCAATCTAACGCACACAATGAACTCAGTAATGTAGAGACGCTGGGCCTCAGCAAGTCCCTGTCCTCTAATCACTTCTCCCACCGACCCGGCTGGGAAGCTTGTGCTTTTCATCAACACATCTTCTTCAACATCTTTCCTATACAAAAGCGAGGGCTGCTCCCCACTCTCTGGAGCTCTGCAGGCCAGGATGCAGGCAAATGCACCTGCAGCTCCCGGGACTGACTGCTGAAGGACCAGCCTTGCTTGTTAGATTCCTCCTGTGTGCCCGAGCACAGGAACCACCTATCCTGACTGCAGAACCGAACCGAGGGCAGTGCTCTGACTCCCCTCCTTTGCACTCAGCATTGATCCTGACCACTACAGAGCCATGTGCCTGACGGTGTCCTACATCACCCTTCAGATCAGAGAACTGGGAAGAGTTGCCGCTCCCCACGCTGGAAATCTTAGTACTGACAGCTGTTCTGTGAGGGCTCCCCAGGTGTTCTTGGCTGAGGAAAAATGGCCACTGCAGGTCAGGGTCCCCTCTTAGGGGTGAGCTGCTTTGGGCCAATCGCCCCATGGGACAGAAGGGCAAGGCCACCTTCTGTACCGAGGGCGCAGTCAGTGACTCTCAGGAGCTCCTCCCAGGGTAGCTGCGGCC